TTTTTTTTTTTTTTTTTTTTTTTAGTAATGTTAGATATTTGACTATTAAATTCATTTCATACCATCGGATATTTTTTGTCACTCTCAAAGTTAGGAATTATTAAGCTAGTAAATTACTTTTATAAGGTTATATTATTTATTTATTTTAGTTGAGACATTATTATATAATTATGTTGTAATTAATTGCCGTTTAATTATATGATTAATTTTTTATAATAAGGACTAAATATAACATAGTTGGATTAATAATATAATCCAACTAATATTTTATAGTCAATATTAATACTTTTATTAGGAGAAAAATGGCGTTTTCTGGTTGCCTAGGAATCTATAATCGAATCATCAACACCCAATAAATTTGCAGAAAATTACTAATTAGGTAGATGATAAGCATGATTAGTGCCGTTATAATCTAAGTCTAATCCACGTAATTATTTATTAAAAAAACATTATTTTATTTTGTAATGGATTTAAACCGGTAGTTGTTTATTTGGTCAAACAGGTGAATTAATTATTTTTTAATAAAATATTAGACTCTAATCTCCTTGTTTTATTCATTTGATTTTTTTTTTTTTTGTAATAAAAAAGTTAATTTAATATATGGTAAATTATAAATTTTATTTTTTTAAGTGATTTGAATATCTCCTAGAATAGATCAAGATTCTATTAAAAATAAAATTGAAATTTCATGAATTAATAATTAATTCATTTTATTTGCCTTTATATTAAAAAATAATTACCTTTCTAAATAATTATTAAAAAAGGTGTTGGGATTAACAATGGTATTAAAAATAAATTGAGTTTCTAATTTATAAGATATTATTATTATATTTTAAATTTATTATTTTACTATAAATTTTATATTATTTATGCAAATTATATAAGCCTAAATTTGATAGGTCCATTTTCATTTGTAAAAATGTAAAAACAAATATGTTATCATTGTCAATTAAAAGCATAATATTTGTAAAATTAATTAATTAAATAATCTATTTAATTTAGTTTATCGGAAAGTTAATATTATCTGAAATATTAACTTTATAACTATTATGTTTTAGCTATAGAAAGTTAATTTCAATATATTATAATTAAACAAATGATTAATAAAATTTTCTTTATTGACAATTTTATATTAGATATATTATAAAAGAATTTATTTATATTTTTCACGTTTTGAACAATAATCCACAAAAATTTTCACGAACAATTAAATATTTATTCTATAAAATAATTATAAAAAAGAAAATCGAGTCCATCATAATAGTTATATTTTAAATATAGTAATATATTGTCTAAATTACTACTAAATTAATAAAATTATCTTTGAAATTAGTACTTTATTTTAAAAATATTCTAAATTTTCAAAAATTTTAATAATCGACTAACAGTAATAATAATAAAAAAATTCATATTACAAATGGGAATAAAATAATTTTCAAGTGCTTTTGAAACTCTTTTTCGAGTGGGCCCCATGATCTGGTCAATCAGAGATTTTAATTTCCACGTGGACAGATCCCCCAACAATCCCTGATCAACCCTAGTTTTGCATCTGAGCCAGAACACACCGGATTGTAGCCCCTTCCCCGAATCAAATTGCAAAAATAATTAATTAAAAAAAAACGTAACTAATCTAGTGACGACAGCTTTAAAAATAATTTTAATAAGAAAAAATTATCCAACTTAGTCACAACAATATAAATCCCTCCTAATATAAATTAATGCAAATTTAAAATTTTAAAACTAATACCACTAAATACATCTAAGAAAAATTATTTCATAAAATTGATAATTAATTAAAAATTTTGTTTTATTCAAAAAATTCTAATAAGTAATTTCTTTAATAAAAAATACATATTAAATTAATTAGTTAGACTCAAATTGATAAATTGTTAATTTTTTAAAATTATATAAAATTGGCATTATATGTGGGGAATAATTTCTCTATAGATGGATAGAAATAGAAATAAATTATTATTATTATTATTATTATTATTATTATTATTATTTATTTATTTTTTGACAGAGGGGTTGAAGCGTGACTGTCAAATCCTATATATTCCCTCTTTTTCCATTTCTCTCACTTCCCCTATCTCAGTTTCTCTCTCTAGAAGAACCTCTCTCTCTCTCCGTTGTAATTCTCAAGGATTCAGAGAGCGGGGGCGGTAGGGGCGGTAGGGGCTTGTTTCGGAGATTCCATTGAAGCCGCGAACCTTTTTTCTTCTCTTTGGATTTCTGTGTTCTTTGTGTGCTTTCCTTTTGCCCTTTTGCTTTTCTCTCTTCCTTTATACTGCGCTCCTCGTCCTTCGGAACCATTTCTTCATTTTCAATCCGTGTGTGTCTTCTTCTCTCCCGATATAATGCTCCAGATTTTCAAGGTACTCACTCTTTACCAATCTTTCTCAATCTCTTTGTACGATTATAAAAGGAATCACTAATCATAATCAATCTCTTGTCTCTTCGGAGTTTTTTTTTTTTTTTTTTTTTTTTTTTTTTTTTTTTTTTTTTTTTTTTTTTTTTTTTTTTTTTTTTTTTTTTTTTTTTTTTTTTGTGTGTGTGTGTGTTTCTGTTTCTCTGAGACATTGATTTTGATATTATCTGCCGATGTTGCTGTTCTTAGATTCTCTGATTTTGTGATTCTTTTGGAATTAGTGTTTTAATTTGACGATTCTGGCTTCTGCGTTGTGATTTTTGTCACGAATTGGGCTCTGGGTTGCGATTTGAATTCGTGTTTTGTTGATGAATTTGCCGTGTTTTGGGAGTTTGGAGAGTTCATAATCCTTCCAATCTCAAGATGTGTTGGAGGAAATTTGGGTTTAGTTTCTCTATGAATGTGTTCATGAGTTCATAGGTTGAGTATGTGTTTGAGAGGGTCAATAATGGTGTCTCGCTATTCCGATGCCTTGATGGGCTCATATTTCTGCATCATTGACTGGTTTTTTTGGGTTCTTGGAATACCTGTTTAGAACTCTGAGCCTTAGTGGGTTTTCTCTGAGCACATTAAAAAAGGTTCCCTTTTATAGAAATGTTTTCTGCTTTTTTCTCCATCTCATCATAAATCAATTAAAATACCACATAATTATTATAAACCCTCCTTCTTTGTTTATCTGATTCCTCTGTTTCAATTCTGGATTGTGGTGCTCATCATTCCTTTCTACTGTTCTTGTCTCATATGCTTAAATTTCAAATTAAACAGAAATTCATGAATTACAAACTCATGATCTTCTTGTTGTTCTTCCTCTTGTTCTTCTTCCGTGTTCTGATGCTGAGAAGGTTCTGATTTAATAGACTTCTCAGCTGTAAAACTATGGAGGGCGACACATTTTCAGGGATTGGGAGTACTGCACAGATCGATAGCAAGATTTTACAGACATTTCATAAGAACTTTGTTCAAGTTCAAAACATATTGGATCAAAACAAGCTGCTGATTAGCGAGATAAACCAAAACCACGAATCAAAGATCCCTGATAATCTTAACAGAAATGTGGGTCTGATCCGAGAATTAAACAACAATATCAGGAGGGTTGTTGACTTATATGCTGATCTTTCATGTTCCTTCACCAGATCCATGGAAGTTTCTTCAGAAGGTGATTCCAGTGGAGCTTTGAAGTCAGATGGTAAAGCAGGCCAGAAGAGAAACAGGGCTGTCTAGGCCACAAAATTCTTCCTTCTCCATTCTTTGGCGTGGTGGGACACAAGGAAAACATTGCTCATCTCTGTCAAAAAAAGGCTAGTATTTCAATAGATTCCCTGTAACTTTCTTGTATGATTTAACTCTCTAGTTTTACTTAGTTCTTAATCATCCTTGCATTGCTTAGAGAAAAATAATCGTCCTGATTCTGTATTTAATTGCTGTTCTCAACTGTGGATCTGCTTGGCGAAATTAGCATAAAGTTCTCATCTGATTTCTTGTTTTGGTTTCTAACTTTGATGCCCTGTGTACCTGCTTAGACTTCGTTAGATAGCAGTTGTTTCTTGTCTTAGTTTTTTAGAGATTCAAAACTCTGACATCTCGATGATATATGTGAAAGATTCAAAGTTCTGACTTTTTAATCGATGATATATGTGAAATGACTATCAAATACGACTAGAAATTATTACCATACACAAGTAACAATAAATAAGAACAGATTTCTGCCCCTAATGGTACAAAAGTTCTTTCTTCACTACTTTTTTGGCAAAAATCTCATCTGGGTTCTAGCTTTCTGCCCCTAATTATAGCTTATAGGCTACTGTTTTGGGTCTTGTGAACTCAGATCTCTTCTGTTGGTGGTTTCTGCTAAAAAAAAAAAAAAAAAATTTACTGTACATGATTGAGCTTCTAAGATCCCATATTGGTTAGTGAGTCGAACAAACCATTCTATATAAGGGTATAGAAAACTCTCCTTAGAAGATGCGTTTTAAAAACGTTGAGGGGAAGCCTAAATGAGAAAGTCCAAAGAAGACATCCCTAGAAGATGCGTTTTAAAAACCTTAAGAGAAAGCCCGAAAAGGAAAATTCAAAGAGAACAATATCTGTGCTAGCGGTGAGCTTGAACTATTATTAACCAGCTTGTTCTACATAAATGGAAGATAACTCTGAACAGGATTTAGCTGGTTTCTCTTTTGATCTTCATCAAACACCAACCAAACAGAATCTGAGATGATGGATGATTAGCTTTTTGACCCTTTTTGTTTGGGTTTTGTTTTGGAATTATAGATATTATGGAAGTCTTGCATTCTATTGTATGTGAACAGTTACCATTTCTTGGTGGGATCTGCTTTGCAAATTATAGTATTCTTTGGAGAGTTCAAAATAAAGCACTCAGAGTTCAAACAGCCATTCTGAAGTAGAAGACAAAGTTCCAAAACAAGCCTCTGTTCTGTGGATTGGGGAATGACCTCAAAAATTTCCCACCCTTCTTTTTCTTTTACCTTACAAAAGGTATATTCTTGAACAACAAAAGGTGGAAAAACACCTCAAGTTATGTTCCATTAGTCTTGTTTGATCATGATTTGATTCCTCAACCCCTTCTCCTTTTCCTTCTTATCTTTGTGCTTCAACCTTTTTCTTTCTTTTTCTAGTGGACCCGTTTCATACAATTCTCATACTCGCAAGATCTAACTATACTTTTTGACTATGATATTCGATGAACTTTAGTTTATGCCAAAAGCCAAAGAAGTTGGTTGCTTTTTTGAGCTTTAAACCATAAAATAAGCTCAGATCTGTGTTAAAAGGAAACAAGAAGAACTACAGCAAAGCTCAAACGAGCAACTCTATTCATATTATCGACTTGAAACAAGTCGTAATCGATTCAATCACGTTTCTCGATTTTGGGTCGTAGGCATGATCAGAGTTTATTGCTATTGATGTTCTTCTTTTAAGGGACAAGGGTAAAAGAGGCTGCAAGAAACAGAATTACAAAGGGAAGTGGTTGGGGAAAAGATTGAAAATTTTGTAGGGTTTGAAGGAGATGATGGAGTGTTGGATGCATAATTATTTGAGTTCTACAATGGTTGTTGGAATACGATAATAATTACAACAATAATCCACCCACGTGCCCTTTCAAATGGATACACAAAATAATAATAATAATAATTATTATTATTATAATTATAATAATAAATAAAGAAAAAGACTTTGGTTTAATATGATAATAATGGTGATAGAGACCATAGATATTGTTGAATTGGGAGTTAGGTCTGGCGTCCTTGTAATTGCACGCCATCCCTCCTCTTCCACACAAACTTTTCTTTTATTTAGTTATTAAAATTTCGAACCGTTCCATATAATTTGGTTAAACGTACATGAACTAGTTTCACGAGGCAATTATTTGACCTACGATGTCATTTTTGTTATACTATAACTGTACTTGTCAAGTTTTAATTGGAGACGGAGATGTCTGTTTAACTCATAAGGTCGGGGTTCCATGCAGACTTACCCCGAACAAGATGGAGAATCCCTGTTTAAATGGAAAATATGAAAGAGAGCGATGAGAAGTTTCTACTATTATCCTCTGTCCTATCTCGCTTACTATATATATATAATATAGTAAAACATAAGGTTTATGGGCTACATCAATCCTTAAAAGAGCTTATCTGCTTATGATTAGTGCAACTAAAATCTAAATTATTTTATAGAAGGGAAGGAGAGAAAAACTTGTGTGGTGTGTCGATCTCCACAAACTCGAGCTTGAAAAACTCTATTGTTTGCTCTCAAAGTCTCCTCTCACTCTCAATTGTACCCGTAATCGATTAGGTTGAAATCCCCTTAGTTGCCTTCGGTGAAACGCTAAGAACAATTTTTCGATGTTTCCCTTTGAAACGTAGGAAGGCGAGCGTTGAGACGCTTCAAACAAATATTCACGATTTGAGGCTCACGTGTGTTTTAACCTGATAGAAGAATCAAATTTATAGCAATGCTTTGAAGGCATTAAGATGCTCTCGATCCGAGCTCTCATGGTAAATATTTACTTGAGATGAATGATGGTTAAAATTATTTTGGAAAAGTACAAGGTAAAGAAATATCATTAGTACATAACTAATTAATTAATTAATCCATAATTTACTATTTAGGAAATTTGAAAATGAAAAGAAAAGGTTAAACTTAAACCCCTCCTTTTCTTGGCACAATATAATTAATTAATTAAAATAAATAAATTAGTACCTGGAATTATTGGAGTTTTTTTAGCCCATTTTTTACTTTTTTTTATTATTATTTTTTTTTTTTTGGTTTGGTAGTGTTTTTTAAAAAATATACCTTTCTAGTTTTGAAAGAGAATATTTTATATTTTAAAAGAAAAAAAAGTTAAATTATAAATAGCATTTCAAGTAATAAAATGATGTATTTAATTTTAATGACTAAATTAATAAAAAAAAAAACGTGTAATTGAACTTTATATTTTATCTAAAAAATATAATTGAAGTCTTAAAAATTACAATAATATCCTTCTTTTAAAAACAAAAATTAAAATATCTTTAAAGATTAAAAAAAAAATAAAAAATACCTTCAACTTAATACTTTATTTTAAAAAATACTTTTAAATTTTTAAAAGTTTTTAGGCTCTCCCACCTTTTCTTAAAAAAAAAAAAGACTTCAAAAACATTTTTAATTTTTTTTTTTTACAAAATACGAATATATGTTCATCGTTAATACTATATTTCAAAAATATTTCAATAATATTAAGGTATATTAATCTTGATTATTCATAAGAATTATTTATTTATTTATTATTGATCCTTGTTTCACATCATAATACTCTAAACTAATTGAAATAACGTGTAATAGCAAAATAATAATAATAATAATAATAAAGAAATATAAAAAATAGTTAAAAAAAATAGTTAAAATAATAATAATAATAATAAATAAATTAATTAATTAAATTTAAAATTTTAAAATTAAAAAAAAAAAAAAAAAAAAAACAATCTTTTCCCACCTCTCTCTCCACTAATCTCTCATCCATTTCCTACGATTATCTCTCCTCAATCCATTAAGCCATAAAGTAATGCAAGAATAAAAAGAAAAACGAATAGCCTATAACCAGTTGAAATTCGCCTAGATTTATGTGGAGATAGATCTGACCCTAAATGTCAATCATTTACACGATTCTAGTAAATCAGGTCAAATTTGTAATATTAGATTAAATTTTTTTTATAGTAGTCAAAATAAATAGATTAAAGATAGAATGACCAAGAAAACTTCTGTAAACACTGAAGGACAAATTTGGAAACATAGATCCACTGGAAATTTGGAATATATGAAAACAACCACCGATAAAAAAAAAAAAGAAATTAGGGAATTAAAAATCATAAACAATACATAGTAAAAGGCAAATACAGAGGGTAAATACAGTAGTAAAGCCCATAATAACATGAAATAACTGTATATAGTTTCTTATACAACAGTAACCATGAAAAATAGGATTTTTAATAAAAATATAATTATAGATATATAACATTTCAAGAATTTTAACAATGGACCAATGTAAATTAGAGAAATAATGTTGTAGAGTTCAAACCTGAAACTAATGTCATTGACTCGTATAGGTTGACTCGGTTTTCAAAGGACGGAATCGAACTTTCATTAAAAATATATTCGTGACAACGACTTAAGCTAGCTAGGTAAGTGACCTTACTATCGACATGGTTATATTTGATGTTGACACGTGTCTTATGGTTCTGCATGTGTCATATATATTGATATGTGTGAATTGTTTATGGATCGATATTCTTCCTATATGTTATGTATATATTATAATATGTGAATTGTATAATAATAGTTACGGTACGATGTGTTCAAGGATATGTTTGAGATAGGATACAAGAATAATGCACAAAACGAAATGTAACGATAGGAGTAAAATACGTTCATGAAACGTTAAGGTTATGTTACATACCGGAGTGATATGGATAAGAGAGATTGATGGAAGAATACGATTAGGTTACGAGTAGAAAGGAATAGATTTGTGATAGATTGATAGAACGATAGCGTTAGGATTAATAGAACGATAACGTTAGGTTAAGTTCTTGTGATGGTATGACTAAGGTACGTTCACGTAATGATATGTTTGTGATAGGTATAAGAACGTTAAGACTATGATAAGTTAGAGAACGATATGACTACGAAGTGTTTACGCTATGACTTGTTTATGACATGATACATTGTGATGCAATATGTCATGGTATGATGTGTAAATGATGAAATGTTATGTTAAAAGCATAGAACGTTATGTTAGGTCTCTTAAATTGTGTGTATACAACATGATATGAATGACATGAAATTACGATAAATGACATGAAATATAACTTCGTTAGAATTATGTATGATTTGAGAACTGAAGAATGAGAAACGATATGATATGAATGATGAACGATATTTGAAACGATATGAAAAATGATATGATAGGTATATAATGCTAGCGGGTGTATTAAAGGATAATGAAAATGAAAAAGTTTTGGGACCTCAGACATTATGTGTGTTTATGCATTTGGGGGATACCCCTATCCCATCACGAGGGTATGGACGCATACATTAAATGGCAGGACAATGATTGTTATGCTTTGCATAGCGCTGCCATGACGGTTACTAGTTCTAGCGGGTGTCCAGCCTAAAGGGCTCCCAGAGTATGCCCACTGAATAAGGAAAGTGGTTTAGCGGTGTGCGAACTAGCTGGTGAGCCCATACTCGCACGTATGGGCTGTGTGTAGAGTATATGGTAAACGTCCAAAATTTACCCGTTAAGACAGTATCGTA